AGCAATTATGCTCAGGCATGGTACAAAACCATCATGCCTGAGCACAGCCTAAGTAAGTTAAGTTAATGCTGTCCTATGAGTTTCGTCACATATGTTTCAAAGCACCCTGGAACTGTCCTGTACCAGTGCATGTAAGCTGTATTGCCTTCCTTTGCATTTGGAATTTTAATGGGGGTAATTTGGTTTTCAACCAAATTGCTGAGAGTTTAAAGACCATACTTACTAAGGCTTTGTGGCTCATTTTGTGGTGCTAAACTGTGAAATTCTGTGTGCTCATATATACTAAGGAGTCACAGTGAGGTTTTGTGCTAGAGAAAAAGAGGAAATGTGGCACCGCAGGAATTTGCAAGTTTGGTCTCATGCAATATGTATTTTAAGGTGTTCCCGTTAATGGATGCAAAAATTAGGGAGGAGAGAATGGAAATTTAAACAATTAACCTCAGCACCTGATTTACCACAGCTACGACAGAGGAAAATGTGCCTGAAATTTAACGTCAGGAGAAAGCGGGTGCAAAATTTGACGCACTGCTCTCAATGCAGCAGCTGTTAGTCATCTAAGATCTTGCCAGAGTTAAGAACATGTTTGAGGAGGGAGAGGAGGTGTGAGGGATTTGAACAGGCTTTCATGTCAATCACTGAGCAAAATAAAAGATGATTTGACTGGCAAGAGACTATGAGACTGCAGTTCCGAAATGCATTTGTTGATCTGGTCAACCACATTAAAAGTTCAGTCGTTGCTAACTTGGACATTTTATACACTTCCTTTTGGTCCACACATGGACAACAGCCTTCAGGCAGATCTGAAGCGAGGGTGTATAAAAATTAACACAGCTGCGGCTGTGCTCATTTACATATGCTGCTAAATAAAATAAAAAAAAAACTGTGGTGTGGCAATATTTTTCACACCCGACGGTAACTGGCGACAAGTTTAGTAAATATTCCCTCAAGACAGGTCATGAGAATCTTTGGCGTGCCATTATAAAATGCTTTTGGTGTGACTTATGACAGGCAGTGTGCTGGTAGGGTAGTTATGTCTTTCTCTGTAATCTACTTGTCACTTCACATTGTCAATGGCCATCAGCGAGCTGCAACACCTGGGCCTATAAGAAGATGCACTGCCTAGTGACGTTCCACAGCCTTCGCATTTCGCCCACCATGGCCTCACTGCAATGTCAACATAGCCATAATTGTGAAAATCCTAAATAAATGTTTCTGATTAAAATTTACATCTGGTACTGCAGCAAAGTGAAAATAATGATAGTAGGTGTAGCCGCTTAATAATTCCACCCCCTCTCCTCCCACCCTGACACATTTTAAATAGCTGAGTATACAAGCCTATCTCTGCAGCTGTGATGAGGGTCAGGAACCCGTATTTATTTTTGATAACCTTTTCCGAGCTAACTACAGCACCCAGACCGTCCACAGACAATCAGATGAAATTCATGAAAAGCCCCATAAGACAAGAAATAGCAAGCAATAGTCCTCCATGCTCGTGCTTCATTCACTGCCGCTAGACTGCAGTAAGTCTGTTTGCTCCTCATTTCCATTCTGCTAGTGACAGACTGCCCAAGGCGGAATGTATTCCTAAATACCTTTCCGCTTGAGAGGCAAGGTGAGACAAAATGTGCTGGGAAGCATTAGCAAAGGATCATTCTTGACAGACTGAACTTGTTTACTTCATCTGAAAAGCTGTGTCTGAAGCCACAGAACTGAACCTGCTCAACCCAAACCTGCCAGCTGCCCTTCGCTC